TGCACTTGAAAGACGAAAGACGGACAATACTGAAGTGCTCAATCGCCCTGTAAAATTTCCGAATTCCTCTCCGAAAATTCACACACGACGGGATATTTAAGCTTCATCTCGAAAGTTACTATCCCCATTCCTGGGCTAATCGAAGAGCTCACGACATACAAGAAAGATGTTTTACGTTCGAAAGCCACCCACTCCCTCTAATGAGGACGAGGTACACCTATCGCTAACGTCTCCCTTGGATGGTGCTATCTTCGAACGACATCAGTCTATTGTCCTCGAGTACACCGCCGTCAATGTCCACACTCTCGAGTTGCTGATTGATGACGACATTTACTTGAAGAAAACCCACGTGGACGATGGCAATATGCTGCTGCGTGGACTCGGCGTGGGGCCGCACACGCTCGAAGTGAAAGCCGTGAACGACCAGAATAAAGTCACAGCGTCCAGTTTAGTGCATGTAGAGATAATGGAGTCAGCATAGGCGCTATTAACTGTAATTGGATGGAGTTAGCGTATGTTAGCGTATTACGGTACTGCACACGCTGTAAATTTCCCTGTAACGGGGAAGATTTATGCATTTTAGCGGTGAGCGAGGTGTTCTCTCTATCCTCATCCACACTCTTACTGCCAGACCTTCTTAGGCTTCCAGTGGAAGTTCTCGTACAGACGCAGCAGGTTGCGTTCGAGCATGGCCACCGTGACCTTACCCACCAGTGGCACGTACTGCACGCCCTTTATCTTAAGCAGCTCGGCCTCGTCCACGTTCTTGAAGGACGCGACGTTGATGATGACCGTGTTCTCGCTCACCCACTCAAGCGGCAGCTTGTAGCTCTTAACGGGGACGCCAGTAATGATGACACGAGACTTCTTACACGCCGTCTCCTGCGTCTCTTCGCTCGGGATGAGCTTACCGCGACGGAATAGGTACAGCGAGTCAATGTCGGCGCTGTACACGTCAGCGCCGTCATTCGCAAGCATAGCAGCCAATGGGCGGCCGACAATGTCACTACGGTTAATAACCGTGATGTTAACACCTGACAAGTGGTTGCCAGTAGGCTTGGTCTTGTCATAAACGCCAAGGTGTTCGAGAATCTTGACAATTGCCAAAGGTGTGCAAGGCAGCACGCACTTTTGCGTCTTCTCGTCGTCTACGTAGCGGATGTTACGGTACAAGTTGCCACGGGTAGAATTGGCACAGTCCTTTCCACGTCCTTCTTAATGCTGATGCTGTCGCGCAAAAAATCGTCCATGTTGCCACCGAAGAAGCTCGGGAAGGCGCCGAAGCACGGGTAGTACACGAGAATACCGTGCACATCCGAGTCTTTGTTGGCCTTCTCCAAAGCCTCCAGCAGCTCGTCCTTGGGCACTTCGCGCAGCTCGTAGCGGATGCCGTCGCGTGCACAGGCCTTGCCCGTCCACTCGGCGTACTTCTTGGCGGCCGGGTCGCCGTGAGCCAGCAAACCCACGAGCTTGGGACCCACGCCACCCATATCCTGCTCAATGTACTGGCGCACGGCCAAGCTGAAGGGCTCGGCGATGGTCGCAGCGTTCATTTTCGCACCGGCGGAGTCGGTCATCTTGATGTTTGTGGTAGACGTCGGTTTGACGGATGGCTGGCTGACCATTAAGCGAAAAACCGTTTGGTAAGAGCTCGATTTTTTAACGCTTTCGAAAAAAGGCCTCAATTAATATTTGATCATATTAGAAAGCCAAAATAATTAAGAGTCGTTGTTTTTTCAAAAAGAAACGCTTTGTTTAACACCTTTGAAATTCCTTTTTATTTTTTATCGCAATGATTTGATAAAATGTCATTTAAAAAAGTGTTTCGAAATTAAAGTGCTTTTAGAAAAACAGAAAGCTTTTTTCTCAGGGTGGCTCTTAGCCACTGCCACGTGTGCCATGCCATGGCACTAGAGATTGAGCCATGGTATGGCGTGGTTACGAATAGACCTGTCACTGTGCCATATTTTTAAAATATACATAAAATGCAATTAGAAGTAGCATGGCCCATGGCAATTGCCCCTTGCCATGACACTTGCGACTTTCGCTTGCGAGCTCGAATTTGGTCTCTATTCTTATCGTCGTAGCTCTTTTGATATGACAAGCGAGCGTCGCGTGTGCGCTGGTAGTAGCGCTTCTGTGCTGCCTTTATGCGTTCTTTGTTAGCGAGGTATTGTTCAGGTGAGTACGTCATCTTAGTATATAACTAACTTTTTTTTATCAGGATGAAAATTTCCTGATAAAAAAAGTGTTATTCCGATGACGAATAGATCACGAAGTAATATTTTGGTGATATCTTGGTAGGAGAAGCTGATGTCATTGAAGCGTTGAAGCACTCAATTCATTACGCACCTCGGGATACGGAACAAGGATTGCATACTGTTTGATGGTTTGAGGAGTCTTCTTGGTGAAAGTTTTGTAGTAGAGTGGTGGAAGCAAAAAGAAGAGTCGATTGCCGTTCTGACCCAGTTTCGCCAAATCATCCGCCGCCCCGCCCTTGATGTCATGCGTTTTTCCCACAGTCATCTGGAATCCACCGAACTGCGCCATCCACGCATCAATAGCAGTATAGTTCGATGTCCGAAGTACGTACAGCTGATTTGCATGTTGACCGACTTCCACACGCTCCGCTACTTGCCGAGGCTGCGATGACCGTGGAATGTCGATTGTACCATCAGCTGGAGTGCGTTTCCTCTTTCTAGAAAACAGCTCTCGATACACGAAAGTCCCACCCTGCTCCAGCCGATCCATAGAATAAAACTCAAAGATGTATCCACACAGTGATTGTGCTAGCGGGTTTCCATCTGACGAACCGAGAAGGCTTTGCAGCTTCGCGCGGTCAAATCGCCACTTTGTTCGAACAATCAACTGCATCGCCAAATCTGATGCATAGACGACTTTGTATTCTCGATACGGTTCTTGGCTGCGAATGTGAATCAAAGTCTGAACGATCGTGGTCTTCGAGTTGACCCCAGAGTGTATAGACACCAACATAATGCAATCATCGAGAGAAGAACTGCTGCATGCGGACATCAGCAAAGCTTGCGGGTTTGTTCCAATGTCTTGCAACACCAGGCGAGGTACACCACCCAAGCAATCAAATCGATTCTCCCACACAGCTGCTGCATGTGGATACATGGGAGCAATTGTCGCCAGTTCTTCTTTCGACCACAGTGGCATGTAGAAAACATCGGCAGTAGGAGGCTGCTTCTTGAACTCACCGATGCAGTCTCGTCGCGGTGTGCTTGCGAGAAGAACTGAGCATAGCCGGTAGGGAAGCCCAGGGATACTTGTTGGGTCCATCGAATCAACAAGGCACCACAGATCAGGCGACCAAAACTGTTCATTAAACTTGCTTGGCAACGCCAGACAGATCAGCATCGTCGATCCATCGAAGTAAAAGAGCTTATTGTTGTCGAAAAGCAGCACGCGCTTCTTCTCCTTGATCAATCTCCACAGGACATAGTAGACGAACACCGACTTTCCAACCCCAGGCGTGCCCGTGACGACAGCATACTTGACCATGCCCACATTTGGATTGAACAGCGCTTGGTTGGCGATCACTTGGTACGAAGAGCGAATGTAGAGCTTCTGACGTCTCGTTAGCGGCAGCAACGACGAAAACTCGAGCCAATCACCAACTTGGTCAACTGTCGGGAATTGTAAGAAGAATGGATCACTGCAGTGGTCGAAAACACCGTCTAGAGAACCGAGGACCCTTGCTCCGGAACCACCACCAGCACGTGAATTTGCTCACTGGATGGAAGCTCCATGTTGTTCTTCGTGTAAAACCACGTTGTTACGGTCTTTGAGCCCAGAATCGGTTCTCCGGCCGTCAGCGCATGGATGTAGTCATCAGATTCTCCTTCCACCAGCTTCAGAGCAGCCCGATGTTCGTCTGGGAGCCACTTAAGATTTTCCTCCTTCATCTCCTCCGCAGAAGGGCGGTAAACAGGGACGACCTCTTTGCCGCTCTCATCTTCGACGGACTGCTTCGCCAGAAGAGCTGCAGCTCGTCCGCAGGAAACTGATACATCTTCTTCGAGTTGATCGCATCCTTCAACTTGCTCACCTTCGCGCCATCGTCAATCTCCACATCGAACGAGCTTCCTGCCTGACCGACAATCGCGCACTGCAGGGAAACCACCACCATCTTTACTCGAGACGGCAGGTTCTGGAATGAGAAGGAAGGGAGGGAGAATTTCTGGCGTACTTAAGCGGAAAAGAAAGCGCGTGACATAGATTTTCAACCAATGATGAGACGCCACGTCGCGCTGGTCCGAGCTAATCCTTGAGGTAAAAATCTGCCAGCGTATTGCTTTTATCAATGGCACGTGTTGCTGCAACCGCCTGGAAGCCGTGAGACGGGACAAAAGTACCCGACCAACGCCCGACTGCACCGGCGGGTACCCGACTAGTCAAAAGCCAGTTTGCCCACCCTTTTTTCGCGACAGCGTATATACGGATATTATCCCGGCCAAAAAGGCTTGGACAAAAATGGTAATATATTTTATCTTAAATTAGAGGAATGTAACTCCGCAACCGTAGAGCCGATTGTCCCCTTAATAGATAGCTTGGTGTCTATTTATTCTCGTAAGAACTTCACAGCATCTAATAATGTTCACTACTTTTCAAATGGTCGCCGGTAAGAAATTGACTGCTGCTGAGAAGCACTTGGTTGTGAAGACCTACGAGTTCCTCCGCCAAAAGAAGGCCTCTGCACCGCATCTATGGAAAGGAGGAGTTCGTTATCATGTCAAAGAGTGTTTAGGCTTTGCTACGGGCACCATTTCAGCTTTATGGGCGCACTGGGAGCAGCACCACGACAAGAATTTCACCTCGGTAGGCTGTACTTCATATCATTTCAGTTATTATTGATATTTATCATTTCAGTGGTCGACAAATTAATTATGACAGATGGAAGGTCCAAAACCATCTGGGAGGCCTCCGAAACATGGAGAAAGCATACAGCCTCTCGTGCGTGAGTCGGTGTCAAGAATGAACAAGAGCGGAAAACCTGTTGCAGCACCACAGTTAGCACAGCGTCTTAAAGAAGAGCACAACATTGTGGTATCAGTGCGCTCACTACGTCGCGTGCTTAGGAGGATGGAAATGCGATTTATAAAAGGAAGGTCTCGCAATATTATGGCAGAAACGACGGCAAATGTTGCGTTCAGGGCGCAATATTTGAGAAAAAAAGTTTTAAACCTGAACAGACGCAATTTTCCAGTGCGCCCCGAGGTTTATCTCGACGAGACTTTTTGTAACCTGCACCATGTCGCCAATTTATCGTGGGTTGATGCCTGAGCTACGCTGTAAAATCTACGAAGGTTTTGCATCGCTCACGTCAGATACGTGGGTAAATGCATACACACACGCACAGAAATACGAGACAAAATATCTGCAGCAAGGTGATGAGTGCGAAATTGCATCGGAACCAGAGGGCAGCAACGAGGACACGGAAGAGGATGACGCCGTCGATGACAATGAAGCTGTAGCCGATTAGGAATATGAACGGGTGACCCGTTGTATGTTCTTTACACTCTAGATATTCTTTTGACGGGTTCTTTTAACAAGTTTATAATTTTCTAACAATCGTCAAATTGCGGTAATATTTGGAATGTATCCATCCGGTTCTGAAAATCCCCACCTGTTATCCCGGCTCTGCCAATGAATATGCATGCATGTTAGTACGTGCCAAGCCCACAATTGCAAACAATTCTGCAAGATATAGAGCCTTTTTTAAACGGCCGATTGGGAGATCAATGGTTGCAGATACGCAAAAATAGACCTCAAAATCGGAATCTACGCCCGATTTTACCCCTTATATCTAACTATCGTTATGGGTTTTGTGAAGGGAAGGGTTACCTTTTTTGGACCAAAGTTTGTCCAAGGTTTGGTGGCCGGGATAATAAATGTATCTTAGCTAAGTCAAGCAAGCGCTTGTGTACCAGAGCATGCGAACTTCTACAAGTATGAAAGAAGGTAAATGTATTTTATTCAGTGAAGACACTAGCAAAGATATCTATAGCGCAGATACATCAGCAGCATCTTGTTCATCCACTGAACTTCTACAAGTCTGAAAGAAGGTAGATGTATATTTTTTAGTGAAGACACAAGCAAAGGCATCTATAGCGCAGATACATCAGCAGCTTCTTGTTCATTCACTCGAGTGGTGGCGCACCTGTGAACTGCTCAAATGCAATCAAAATAAACAACCCGCAGTTATAGTTGCTCAATTAAATCCCCATGTCGGATTCGTACGCTTGCACTCGAAACCTTTCTCCCGTGGTTGTTGCTAGCATAGGTCTAAGTCGTTCTGCTACCACTCGAACGCTGGCCACGTAGCTTGATTTCATTGGATCGTAGATATACACGATACGTTTTGCGATGTCGATCATAATAGCACACCAATGGTTCGAATTGCTGCTGATCGGTATGAGTACACACTCCCCGGTAATTGTCGACAGAATGCTCTCGACAGTCTCAGCATCCATTGAAATATTCCTTCCCACAGCCCACCCAAACAAACTTGGGGTTATCACCACCACTCGCGGGTTGTTTGAGTATAGTTTTT